AGTAGACAACTTTGACAAACACATCATCAGTTTAATCTAAAGATCTTTTTCAGTGTAACATAAGCAATGAAACTGAAAACAGGAAGGCTGGCGAACACTAGAAAGGGAAGTAGAGTTGTATTTTTTCCTGACTTTTTTTGCCTTAGCTTTGCAGAATACTACCAGTTTTATCCACCATGGCAGAAACTTTAGAGTCTGTTTCATTTTGACGTCATGTATTAACAGTAAAGGTAGAGCCAAAGGCAGCATAACTTAAAGCAGTGGTTCCCAAACATTTTCTCCTGCGCCCCCCCAGTGGTTTCCAAACATTTTCTGCGCCCCACAGTTTGGGAACCTCTGACTTAAAGAATCACTGAGCTATGTGACCTAGTGGGATTGCTTTCGGTGTCTTTCACTAATATTGGCACTGCAATCAAAGAAAAGTTGTTTCTGATCATCTTTGATTTTTGTATGTTTGCCATACAGATGTGTTAAAAGAAGTAACATTTGCATATAACCAGCTGGAGGAGTTCTGCAAGAAGGCTATGCTGCTTTCCAGTCCATTACTAGTTTTTCATTACAAAGCTTGTTACATAATTTAGCACTTAGTAATCTATTTCCTACATTGCTGCTGTGGGAAACTGCATCTTCATAAATTTGAGTTTCCACACAGTGCAGTAGGTACTTGACATTAAGTGCTTTTTAGATGTAAATGTTTCCCAAAGTGGTGGCAGATTTCCCCCAGGCATGAGGAATTAGCTCTTGGTCTTCTTCCACTGCAGACACTTGATGGAGCTACTTATTGTGCTCCAAAATAAGAGCTTTACAAACCTCTCCTTTCCATCCTTTGGGTCCCACATCACCCTGGCAGGAAACAGAAAATTGGGAAGGCAGAAAGGTGGGGAGGTAGAAGAGGAGATAGAGAGAGAGGGGGGCAATTAGTTGTAGCCTTTCGTGTATTTTGCTATTTCCACTGCTTGGAAATCATGGGTAATTTCAACACAAATATAAGAACCGTGGTCCACTGCCTATTCACGTTTTTTCTGTTGAACATAACTAAGTAATTTATTGAAAATCAAACAAAAATGCAGATTTGGAAGCTAAAATGCTACTTGAAACCGAAACGCTTGTTGGCTGACATTTTCAAAGCAGCCAACTAAAGAGCGCCATTTATTTTCCTTGACGCTGATTGGCTGAACCTCCCAGAGCAGAAATAAAGAAGACATTGGATGTTAGCTTCTGCAGTTGAGCTACAACAGTTTCTACTATTGTAGCACTACAACACACTAAATATTTTTTTATGTTAGTACTATTAAAATAAGGAATTATGTGTGTGCTGCTCTTGAAAAACATCACAGGTCAGCCATATTTTAACTGATCCATAAATATGGCTTTATGGAATCATACAGCAAAGAAAACTATAAAATTAACAATTCCAACAAGCCAACCAGTTTTTGGAGTTTTTTAACATAATTAATTGCAATTTATTACTATGATTAATCCAAATTCTTGCCATAATTAGAAGCTTCTCACAATAACCATACGATATGATAATCCCCACCCCAAACTGTGATGACTGTTTGGTGATTTCAGCAGTTTTCAAATATAACAGAAAATGTGACTTAAAATGGTAAACATCACTATTATCTGCTGGAGTTTTTCCGTGTGAGATCATGCTCGTGCTGCTGTCAGGAGCTTCATATCCACACGGAATTTAAAAATGCAAAGACTTTGCTGCCCCCTACTGGAAGAACAGACACTCACAGGTACGCCGGGAGTTCCTGGTTCTCCATCTTCTCCTCGCTGCCCCTGTAAACAGACAAAACATGATTGTCTGTCTCCTGCTACAGTCTGTGTGTATGTATTATATAGAGAGGGTAGCAGTACTATAATAGAGGGTTATAACTACTCCTAGCTACAAAGGGAGGTCATGTGTGGAGAGGAAGCTTTGTGGGCTGAGATTCAGTGTCAGCTTCTTCCCTATTGGTCAACATCAAGATCAAAATAAGGTATGTGACAGTGTGACACTAAATAAGGGGAATTATTTAGGGGAATTCAAAAGCTGCCAGTTTTGCCGGCTGTTTATAAGAAGTGTTTCTTATAAACACTTCTTGTGGTTGAAATACACTTTTCACAGGACCACAGTGATCCTCTAAAAGTGATACTCATTTAATCCTAGCTGAGACTTTTTTTTGAGAATTTAGTAAAATGCCCATCCTGTGTAAAAAAAATTATAACTAGTAAAGAGAGAACACATATGATGACCTCAAGTTGATGGAAGGTTCCTAATGTTACAGTATATGGTTAGTTCTTAAGAAAATAGTTGCTCAATCATGGTACAGTAACTAACTAATTTGGTTTGAAGACAGAAATACATAAGGAAAACAAATAATGATAAAACAATTATTATTTTTATTATTACTTTACTCTGAAATATTTGATTTAGGATGATTGTATTTTGCAGCTGTGGTGAGAGGTGAAGATTCTCCACCGTACCCGGTTTCCTTTGGAGCCGCTCTCTCCTCTCTCCCCCTGAAAACACAACCCAGAACTTTAGACTCCATGAAATCATACAGCCAAGTAATAACATGTAAACTAAATGAGAACCTGATGTTGAAGATAATTACATCTATGAATAGTGGCACCATTAGACTTTTTTCCCTTACAAATGTGCAAAAATTACAGTGTTTCCATTAAATAATAATTTAAATTTAAATCACACATAAATGTGCTTGTTCATATGATAAAAATCATGGCATCAACAGATGAAAACATGAGACATATTCATAATGCAGTCATCTATCAGCCAATAAGAGGAGACATTGGCGTCTCGAATTGGATTTGACATTGGAGCAACAAGCCCCGCCTACATGATGGAACGACACACAACTTTTTGTGAACTGTGTGATGCTCTGCTGGAGCCAGCTGCACACTGTCCAAAAAGATAAAAACAAACTATCATCCTGCAGCTACTTACAGTTGTTTTTGTAATTTGTCGTTTACCTTAGTATTAACCTCCAGCTGTTGACCATGTGACTTGTGTGATGCGAAAAAACATCTATTTTGATACTACAAACCACAAAACCACCTCATCCTAGCACAAAATCTTTTACTGAAAAACATTAGGGTTTTTTCAAAACTGGCATGTTTCCATCAGGCAAATTTATTTTTATAATTTCAATATTATGTTCAATGGAAACGCAGCTTGTGTCTTCTTGTTGAACAGAAACAATGCCCAGTGCGAACAGGAGAGAAAACTTAACACCTACTGCCAAAGAAGTGTGAAGGACATTTTTACACACTTAAAACGAATCATGTCATTATTGCACAAAATCAATAAGTATATTATGCTGTAAACATTTTCAGAATACAACATGGGCATTTTAAACATTTCCAAAAGCTCTGGAGCAAATATTTACTCTGAAAACGGTTGTCATCTGAAGACCTCACTCAGTGTGGATCAAATTGTCTGTACGTCTTGCTGATATTGGTTCTCACCTTATGGCCTTTCAAGCCTGGCCGCCCTGCAACCCCCGGTTGGCCCGGAAAGCCTGGCTCCCCTGCCAAACCCTGGAAAGGTCAAAGGTTATAGATCTTTGGAGAAGCACATCATTTCTTTTAAAAACGTTTTTCATTAAATTGGTATACAGAACAAAACATCTATGAAGTGATTTAAATTCATATTAGGTTCTTTAGCAAACAGTCATTTCAGTCTCAAGTTTTTTTACATGGTTTTGGATGCTGTGCAGCTGGAAGGTTATTGCTCTTCCTTCCTTTTTTTTTTTGCTTTCGGACAATTATGGTGCATATCCATGGCAACAAGGTATTGTTTTTGCAACTGGAAGCAGCTGGTCAGTACCTAAACGGCTCAGAAGCCGTTTAGGTACTGACCAGGTACTGACCAGTACTGACCAGTACTGACCAGTACCTAAACGGCTCAGAAGCTGCTACCCTGATATTGAACTGTTAGCATTTCATGACAGCCATAAAACTGTCATACAGCAACAGTCTTCAGTCAGAAGTCTTATCTGATTTGTTGTAAGACTGGCTGCTACCATCTAAAAGGACTCTTTGAAGATAAAAATTCAATTGAGTTGAAATTGTCAGTCAGGCTACAAAATCTTTGCTAGTATACCTTTAAATTAAATTGTTTAATATAATAAGATTTTAATGCGGTTTTGCTTCTAATGTGGCTATTTTAAGATGCTAACCTGAGTTTTATGTTTCTCTTCTTTCCATGATCTTTTTTTACATAATTGAAGGATCAAAATGAGATTTCCAGCTGCACTTGTTAAAAAGGAGTCTGCATGAACACTTAGCTTTGGTAGTGAACATTGTCATTCAAATAATATTAAAAAAAATATGGGCAGTGAATATGTTTTCAACATGTTAACTTACTGACTCTAATTCAAAAAGTATTTTTATGCTTTCAAATATTAAAATGTAAAATTAAATCCAATCAGATGTCTGTTTCAAATGGCCATTACAGCTCAACCGAAGAAACTGAGTTTGTTGAAAGATGCCTGTTCATGTTACCAATGGGTGTTTTCTACCTGGATGTCAACACCTTGTTGAAATATTCTTTGTTTTCAACAAGATAAAATGAGCCAAAACACATGAACTACATTGAGCAGGTTACTTTTCCAAAACCCACAAGCAAATCTTCACTCACTTTTAATCCTGGAAGACCAGGAGGGCCGACAACTCCTGGTTCACCACATGAACCCTGTGGGCAGGAAAAAGAGAAAATGTGATGACGTCATCCAGCTCTGAAACAAACTGTAAATCTGCATTTAACCATCTCAGTCACCAGCACACTGGTATCACACCATATATGTATTTTACTGGGTTTTTCACAGAAGGCTTCCTGGAGGAAATTGGAATACTATGATCAGATATACTCTCAACTGATTCCATCCTCTTCACTGTTTAACTTGCTGTGATGATCACAACAGGTCATTCAGAGGCCACATGACTTTTCTTAAGAAGAAAATGTCATCACTCTTGGTAGAGTTTGAAGACTCACTGGTTTTATATTTTTGTCAAAGCTATAGGATTGTGGTGTGTCGAAAAACCCCACAATTTTGCAATTCAGATGTTTCCATTATATGAGAAACATAATTAATCCAACATGAATAAGTTTATTCACACAATAAGGGATGAAAAACAGGCTGCACCATCATCCTCCTGCTACTTCATAGTGGTCGCATCTGCCATCCGGTTGTTGGTCATGTGACTCGTAGGATGTGAAAAAGTGCTTCCAGTTGCAGTTTTGTTAAATAAACCAATTTCAATATGACCAAAAAATTTTCAAAATTGTTGTGTTTCCATTAAGCAATTTTATTTTCGAAATGTCAAATTGCACAATTATATGATCAATGGAAACGCAGATAGTGTTGACAAAAATCTGCTACCACCTGAGTTGGATGAAGATCACAATAAAAACCTTAGTGTTGGGTGTGAACGTGAATGTTGGATGGCTATGTAATATAACTGCTTATACTGCTCAATACACTGACCTTGGGACCAGCTTGGCCGATTTCTCCGGGGGGTCCCTGGGGTCCCTGGACTCCCTGGAAAGACAGACAGAAAGGAGACACAGTGCTGGTTTTCAACCAACAAAACTACACAAAACTCACATCATCTGTGGTGGTCACACATTATTTCAATAAAATAAGAAAAACATAAAAACGTACAGTTGACATATTGAGCAAAACAGTATCAAGCTGCATCAAAAGCCTGGCTTTGTTATTGTTTGTATGTCTTCCAATTATAAAATAAATAGACTTATGAATAGACTGGTTTTTATATGGGTTTTAAATGCAAATGTATTTATAAGCCTTACACATTTCCACATTTTGTCACATTAAAGCTACACACTTCATTGTATTTTACTGGGATACATGTGGCTGGAGAAAACAAAGGAGAAGATAATTGTGAAGTGGAAGGAATACAAATAAAAATCTGACGCGTGCCATGCATTTGGCTTGGCTTGTGGGGTTTTTTTTAATGGTTTTTCTCTTGACGATGGTTTTCTTCTTGCCACTCTTGTCCAAATTCTTTATTTACCATATGTATCATGAAAAATCCCAATAAAATACAACAAAAGTTGGTGGCTGTAACATGGCAAAAATATGAAACGGTTTAAGTGAAGTGAATACTCTCACAAGGCACTCTGTTTGTAACCTACAGTGGCTGATGCAGAGCTGTCCAGCAGGCTGTGCATGCTCTCAGGAGGGTGTGAGAGACAAATGCAGTCACTTGTTACTGAAAGACACATTTGTGTGCTGACTGATTCAGGCTGATTTGTTAAAACAGGAAGTTCTTCATTGTCTCCCTGTTGATCCGTTGAGTCCCCAGGTTATGCTGGGTCAGATTACATCCTTACATTTTATGACACGGTAATTTGTAATGCTTTGGTCTGCACACCAGAGGGCAGCATACATTAAAAAACAAAAACAAACGGTTCGAGCTCTCCAAGAATCAGTGTGTGACTGAGTTTAGATTCTCTCCACACTAATTCACTGGTGCATTAATCAGACCGATGTCTGGATACCCACTGTGGACAACAACAGTGGGTATCCACGGCACCCACTGACGGTACATGTATACTGTCATACATTCGCTCTCAGAAGTCTTCACACCCGCGTTATAGTGCTGTGTTGTTTTTTTATTGTTATTGGTTTATATATAAAAAAAATGTTTGGCAGCTTGGGGAGATAAAAAAAAACATTTACTGCTTATATTGAATAATCAGTATAAAAACCCAACACGCCACATAGTTGATATTGGATTTTGGCCCAAACTTGATGAAAAGACAACACTAATAAAAATAGCCAGGAAAACTGCAAAGAGGTCTATATCGACCCTTCAGGAACTGCAGGAATTTTCCTGCTGCTTGTGTTTCACATGTTATACTGGACTCATAGATTCTCTCCACATGTTTGGACTAAGAAGAGGGTTGCAAAACAGAATTATTTTATTCCAAAAACAAAAAAAAACATCTAGATGTGGCTTTAATCTGACATTAAAGCCACATCTTTAATGTGGCTTTTATTTGTGGCTCTATTTTTTTTCATAGGTAAAGGTGATGATTTTGAGCATGCTGAAAAAACAGAAATGTTAAAGCAAATCAAAAGCCAAACGCAATTCAAGTTCCAATTTGAATTGCGTTCAAATTGGAACTTTTGGACTGTCTGTTATTTTTTCAAATGGAACTGAAGATGGTATTAATAGAGAGGAATTTTTGAGGAGTTCCAACAATCCAGGACTAGATCTAGTCAATTACTAGAGATTCATCTCTCTGTCTTCACCACCCATGAGAAATGTTACAGAGGAAGACGAAATGTCCTATTGGCCCAAGTATTGACAACAGTACCAATAAATGTGTCACAGGTGATTTTATATTTTTTTTATTTATTGAAGGCATTCTTCATCAGGAGTTCCAAAAAATAAGGCCAGAGCAGTATCTTAGAGGGCGGAAAGGTGACTGATTATCCAAAAGTGTTTACAGAATGTCACTCCCATAGCGAGGACCAAACCCATCCTCCTCTACCTGCTTGAATGCTCACTTTTAGCTATGTTACATTTCTAATACATACAAATTGGGGGGGGGAAGTATTTGTCTGTTCTTACTAATTGAGTCCTGACAAAACATTTTAAAACTTGAAAGAGTACTAACCAGGTTTCCTTTCAGACCAGGTGGCCCCTGAAGCCCAGCTAAGCCTTGTTCGCCCTAACAATGGATTCAGAAGCATAGGAATGTGTTACGGATGTTAAATCAACAAGAACACCTACAAAAGTCAGTTCAGACATTACCGGAGATCCCGGTGGGCCCGTTTCACCAGGAGGTCCGATGGGACCCTGTGGATGGCAGAAGAACAGAAAGTTGAGATGAAATTTACTTCCTGTTAAGCCAAGTTAGAGAAGGGTTTTGATAAATATCGCTTTATATTTACGGATGGAAAGCATTACATGTAGCTTTTTACAGTACTTGGAAAAAATATTATAGAACAAGAATTTCTCCACAGCCTCCATCATGCTAACATTTTCTGTTATTCTGAAAGAGTTAGAATATTTCTTCAGATTCCTTCTTAAAGTACATCTTGACAACCCAAAGCAGGAAAAGTAACATTATATTTTTTCCATCTTGGAGTTTTACAATTTGAAAAACAATCTTTGAAACACTGGAGTTGTGTTGGAACAAATTTGTTTATGGCAGTATGAATAGGAGGTGATAGCTTGCATTTTCTTGCTTGTCCAGGCATTTTTTTTTTCATAGGTAAAGGTGATGATTTTGAGCGTGCTGAAAAAACAGAAATCTTAAAGCAAATCAAAAGCCAAAGCCCCAAGGCCTGCCTGCAAAGAGCTAAAGGTTCAAACTTTGAAAACATGCTTTAGTGCCAAGTTTTAACATGTTCTTTAACATATTTTCATTACTTGAATATAGAGCGCAAAAGATGATCCTTAGCAGTGTGTTTGGATAAGTCCGGAATCAACAGGTTTTTTCATGGCAAGATGAGTTCAATCATAAATTATGGAATGACTGTTGTTAAAACAACATCACCTGTGCTCTATCATTTTAGTATGTTTGTGATTATCATGTTTACTACCACCTTATTACTACTGTTACTGATCCACACAGATAGATGAAAGAACCATTACACAATGATGTAATATTTTACATCCCTTTTATTTTAGTAGAAAGACACTGAAATAAAAGACACTTGAGTTAAATCTAGAACATTTAATAAAATGTACTTTCTCAAATTAGTTTAATCTAGTTGTCAACATAATTTCAGACATCTTTGTTCTCCTCCTAGGTTAAAAAGGAGCATAGTTAACAACTGGTTTGTCATTTACATTTTCCTAACAACAAAGGGTAAATTGTAAAGAACTACCTCAGAGTTTAGGAGCACATCTTGGTAATAAATTTGAATCAAGCATTAGCACTGGCACTAAACAAGCTAATGCTGAATACAATCTTAGCATTGCCTGCATAGGAATTCTTTCCCTGATACTTAGCAACTTCTCAGATCCCCTTGACAACACTTTAAACAAATAAATAAATGGTTACTGTTGGAGACTGATGTGAAAGCATATCTCATTGATTTATTTTATTTTTCAGCTTCTCGTCATCTACATTTAGCTCTCCATTGTGACTGTAGTCATTTTCAACCCGTATCTTTCAGCTCTGTCATTAGGTCTGTGGATGGATGAGAATACATGATCTATGTGAAGCTCAACCTGCTCCTCAAAACCAAATCATACTTCCACCCTGAGGAGAGCAGACGGCAAGCAGGAGACAGAGAAATTATTAGACTAAATTAACCAAGAGCAAGGAGGAGTTGAGCTTTTCTTTCCGATAGTTACAACTTTAACAGCCAGTAAGTCCAGTTTGTAACCAAATTCCAGGAGTTCTGTTTTCTTTTTTAACACAGTAATGTCATTAGAACATATCTCATTATTGAGTGTATCCCAAAGCAGTGTGTAGCTACTGTTAGCATGAGACTTTGAGAAGCAAAGGCAAACTGTTATTTAGAGCCTTCATCAGAAGGTAAGTGCTTCAAGCTAGGTTTATGCTACTAGGCTAGTGTTTCCAGAGCGCTAATTAGCCGCATCCCCAAGTGCGCAGACAAGGAAGACTCTAGTCTAGATGTTAGCTTCTGTGGTAGTGCCACAATTAGCATCTGCTTGACAGCTTCCTTTTGTCTCTAAACTAAAGGACTCTTTCACATTATTCTAAAGTCTGGATCACATTTGATGATCTATAGTTCGACATCTAAAACGCTTAGTTTGAGATATAATAAAATCTTAGTTGCAACAACAACTAAGAGATTAATTTTCACAACTTTATTGGTAGTAGGGACCACTTTAGAGATAGACAGGAATTTAAAAAATTAAAAAATAAGTTAAATCGACTAGTTGGAGTTACAGTGGTTGGCGACATTTTAAAACCTAGTTTATGATTTAAAAACATTTAATCTATTTATGAAAACATATAAAACATAAAAAATGGCAAAAATATTGCTATGAATCCTGAGCTAGAACATATTGCTATATCCAAATTTCATATTTATAACTCCAGTTTAAATGTTTACTGCTCAAATTCAAAATGAAAGCTTAAAAAATCTGAACTTGCTTAAATTGTTAATATTATACTTTTTATATAGTCTCTAGCTTTTTTGTTGTTTAAACAGACATATTATGCATGGGTCTTCTTTTACAAACAGGGTTTGCGTGTCTGTGAGTAGAACAGTAAATCTTCAACTCGATGGAATGAACATGGAAACAGTTTTATGATGATTGTGTTACAAGATAATAAATAGTACAGTAAAACTGTATGGAACCATAAAACTAACTGCATTCAGAGTTGAAGATTCCTGTGAGTCTGAATAGGGAGGGGGAGTTTGGCTTTACGTTCCAGCGGGGAGTCTGCTCAGCACACAACACTGCAAGCAGTATGGATGTACAGAGGAGTGTGTGCTTCCACCAGTGTGTAAATGTGGGTTTCACCTATAAAATAGAATGATCAAGCATTGCAAAATACATGTTAGGGAATATCTGGATTTCACTAATCAAAAGGGGACAATGAGCGAAAGATAGAAAAATAAGAACTTTTTGTTGCTTTGTTTATGTATTTGAATGTGCAGTCATAACTGTTTTCTATAAATTGAGAGTGTGGTTGTGGTTGCGGGGTGTGACTGTGATGAGTTTTCTACTCAGATATTAAAATGTGGACATTTAGAGTCTCGGTGTGTACGTTAGTTTCAAAGGGTAGAGTTTTATCTTGAGGATTTAAAACAGTTAATGTTCTAGGGCTTCTTCTCATATAATTGTATGATATCTTTGTCTGAATCGCTGTTCACCAATCAGCTAACATTTTGTACCCCAAAAACAAGTCCGACTTCAGTATAAAGCATCTCTGGAATGTGTCCTGTGGGATTAGGCTTGTCTGGGGTTGAGCTCCAATGGTTCTATGAGGTTGGAACCAGATAAGGACCTTGTGATAAAGACCATGGCCATACATGTACTCACAAACGTAATATTTATGTGAACTCACCAGGGCACCTTTAGGTCCAACATCACCAGCTGGTCCAACATCACCTGTCTCCCCCTGAGGAGACAAGAACCATGGCAGTGCATTCCACATCAAAAACAATGATGATATTAGATTCACTGGACTATTTTTGTTTGTTTGTTTTGTTTTGATGTCCTATTAAAATTGTCCAATGTCTTACATCCGGTAGGCAACAATCCTCTATCTATCTGCTCTCTGCAGCAGAAACTTATTTGTTTATTTAGAATATATTATGCACAGAGATAATCATAGAAATGTAAATACACCAGAATTACCCAAAGGGCTATTATGCATATGTGTTTCCCAGCAGGTTGAATTGATAAAACAATAAAAGATAAACAGGAAACTGTCAAACACACAAGGCAAGGCAGGTGCATTTTCACAACACCATTCAACAATGGAAGGATTGAAAACAAAAGAGGAAGCAAAAGGAAGAATGTTAAAATCTAACATACAAGATTTAAAAAAAATAAATAAAAGTAAAATTTGACATTTGTGGGAAAGCAGCAGTCTCTCCTTATTTAAAGGAACCAACAGCTTATGCACATCTCAGCTTTTCAGGTAGTTTGTTCCAGAGCCAAGGTAGCCTAGAAGTTAAATCCTACATTCCCCTGGTTGGTTGTGGGAATGCAGAGTGAAGAGGAGCTAGCATACTCCAGACCTGAAATGTAGTTAGGTCCAAGATCATCCAGAGTCCTATAAGATGTCAACGACATTTTAAAAAGCCAGTGCAATGATTTAAAGACCAATGACATTGCATGAGCTATTTGACTGATTTTTTATTTTTAACAGATACTAACATAAAGACACCATTTTAATGGTCTGCTGATTTTATTTTCCTTTTGTGCTGCTGAGATTAATCAATCCAATTGGAAATTCATTAGTCTGGATGTGTTTTTGCATGTTGTTGCTCTTTGACATCTGTTTATCCAGATAAGTAGAATGCAGCTCCAGTAGAACCAAGACAGGAGACACTTATTTACTGCTATGCACCAACCTCCTTATTTTTTCCCTTTCAGTACTGAAGGCATCAGAAGAGAAACCCTAAACTTTTTTGATTCCACACTGGCACATAACATAAATGAAAGTGCTGCTGTTACTCATAGTGTGGTCTTGTTTTATGTTACTGTGGCACTTTAAGAAGTTTGACAGAGGAAGTTAACAACATCCTTTCCCTCCTCGCCACAAAAAGTACTTTAGGGTAAACTGTTCTGATATTTTCAAAGATTTATTCAACTGATGCTGTTTTTATTTTTATTGGTGAGGTGGGGATATTAATTTTCCTTCTTATGCCTAACAATTGGCAAGCTAACACAAGCCTTGTAGCTGAGAAATCTAGTGAGAGGCATTAGTGGCAAACAGTAAAAAGAGGTGGTGCCATGTTGTGCCGTTGGACTTTTTCTGGCAAAACGAGTTAATCAACCATGTCCAGATAAAAGTTATAAAATCCTTATATCCTTGTTAAGTGAAACACCTATGTAAATGTAGTACTATAAGTCTAGAAATGCTATCTTGGGCAATACAATAAACATATACAAAAATTCAGTAAGGCACTTTTTTTCCAGACGAAAAAAGGCAGGTGCTCACCTTCAAGCAGGTCTCATCACCAACCTGCTTGAAGGTTAACCTCTGCTGCAGTCTTGAGCCTTTTCCAACCTTTAATAGAATTATCTGGTGTTTAGTTCTATCCATGCTGTCCTTCTCTTACTGATAAGTGTCCCCAGAGAAACATGCTGGCATAGCTAATGTTTCACAGGGATGAAATTAAATATTGGGGTAGATGTACAGTCAAGTCCATATGCCAGAAATAACATTCTGGACGTGGGGGAGTAAGTCATAATTTCATCTTCAGTGGCTTTCATCTAGCCACTATTTCATTTGATGAAAATCATGAATCATATCCTCCCATTTCACAGTTATGCTCTTCTTAGTCTGTCACATGTAATCTGAATTCAGCTCTTAAGACTCCAACATACCTGGATGTACTTCAGTCTGTGGATGTCCTCATATACTCAATGCAGACTCAACATGGCCTCAAAGTCGAAGTCCGCGCAAAGAACAATTTTTATGACCACGTACGCACACTCTGTGTAAACTGCTCAGCACAGTGTTCACATCAAATTGTTTTGCATGTGACACTGGGCTGATAAAGTTGTTAGTCAGCATAACCAGTCGCAAGAACACACAATGTGACTGCCACTCTGTCCCTTGCCGTGTAGAGGCTGCCATTATAAACGCCTAACTAGCTCACCAAACTTGCGAGTATCCACTAGGATTGTGGGAAATAAAGGAATATGTCACAAGGAATGCAGACAATTGGTACACTTGACAATAAAATTCCAAATGTGTGCAGAAAGTGCTTGTGCAGTCTGCATGGCTCACAGCAGGGGTGCCCAAGTCCAGTCCTCGAGAGCTACCATCCTGCAAGTTTTAGAAGTATTCTTACTCCAACAGACCAGGATCAGCTGTACAGAGGCCTGATAAGGAGCCATTCATTTGATTCAGGTGTGTTGAAGCAGGGATGCATCTGAAACTGGCAGGATGGTAGCTCTCGAGGACTGGACTTGGGCACCCATGGCTCACAGGGTTCGTACAGTTCGCTTGAGTATGCAGGAGCCTTTTGAGTTTGGTGGGTGGAAAATAGCAAAATATGGAACTGGTTAAGAGGTATGAAGACTTCCAACATTATGTAATGTTCTTTTGTACACCTTCTTGAACATTAACACAAACTAGGTGAGCAAGCAGCAAGCAGCGTTCATGGTGAGCAGAAGAGCAATGAAAAAGGACTATCTGACATTTGCAAGCTGCATTTTCATTCCGGAACCCAGAAGCTACTGTCTGAATATTGATTCAGACATTGGTTTTAGTATCAATCAAAACCACATGCCTGTACTGAAAATCTCAGGGACTTTCTGGGTTTTTTTTACACTGTTGGTTATGTCATGAGTTCATATCTGGCAGCAGTTTTTACTGATGCATGGGCACAGCTTGTGTGGTGAGTCCTGTGGTGAGAGCTCTTGCATCAAGTGAGTGGACAGGCAGGCGGCTTGTAAAAACATAAAAACTAAAGACCACAAACAAACATATCCAAATAATCCCTCAGCAATCTGTCAGACCCCAGAAGCTGCAGAGTGAACCACAGCATTTCACTGGTACTAGCAATGACCATGTAAAACAAGCTGTAAAATGTATTCTGGGACAACAGGCTTGGAATTCATTTGTAGATCACATGCCCTCTGGATTCCTTCAATGCAACCAGATTGTCATTCTGTTAGGTTACCACTGAGTTCTAATTTACTATGTCTCAAGGGTAAATACTGGTTTGTTCTCATGTGATGAAACTGTCATTATCAGTTCTATTCATTTCAAACTAAAAAGCCAAACAGAAAACTTAAGGCTATGTTCCCCCTACCGGGATGTCAAAAACAGTTGTCCATTTTATACACCCAAAAACATGAAAATAAGGGAATAATCTGCACATCCTGAGTCATACTGAGTCCTACGTTGTAGGAGGTACAAGCTTCAATAGCTGAGATGGGAGAGACTCTGCAAACTACATCTGTTGCCCAGGTTCTTCACAAGTCAAATCTTTATGGGAGAGAAGCAATGAGAAAACCATTGTTGAAGAAAACTCAGATAAAGGCTGGACTACAATTTGCTAAAAGACATGTGGGAGACATGTCTTTTAGTATGTCTCCCACCAAAGAACTTTTAAGTAGAAAAAAATTCTTTGGCCTAATGAAACCAAAAATGGAGTTATGTGGTCCTTAGACAAGATGCTATATTAGGCAGACACTGAACAACACCACAAGCACACCATCCAGATCCGTGAAAGCTTGTAAAAGTTAAAGGTAAAGTGAACTAAGAGAAATCCAGGGAAATCCTTGAGGATGGTTAGTTTCCATCTGGCAGAGATGCGGATTCAGAGAACATTTATATTTGGGCTACCACAAGGTTAATTCCCGATGCACTCGTGTGTTTGAAGAGGAAAAAATAAAATGTCCATAGCGCTCCGATGTAAAAATATAAACAAAAATTTATTCCACAGTTTTTTGAGTAAGTCTTTACAAGAGCAATAAAGTCCTTCACTAACCTCTACAAACAAACTACGGTTGAAAAACCGTGCGGCTCAGTCGCTCCCTTAGCAGCGCCTTCCCTTCTATCTGCCGTCTCCCTTGGCTACACGGCCCACCTCATTTGCATAAAATTGCCAGGTGGCCAATTAAGCTATAAAATATACTTCTAGTAACACTTATTCACAGTAAAACATCATGAAATTAGTTACATGCAATATTAATAATTCTACCTAAAATTTCAACAAAAACACTTAGTACATTTCTAATTAAGCAAATACATTTTAACAGTAACTGAATACTTTATAGATTAACTTGGCCTCCACAATTTATTTTCCACCAAGACAATGACCCGAAGCATCCGGTTAAAGATACATGGGGGCAGGAGTATTTACTTTATGTTAAATACTTCTATTCAATTGTGACATTTTTTTGGGAAGGGAAATGTTGCAAAAGCAATACAAAGTGTAAATTATTCAAGGTTTGAGTATATTTTGTAGGCGCTGTATATGGTAAAAAATCTAAAGTGTTCCTGCCACATGTCTAAGTCACAGCCATTAGATCCTCCTCAGTGATTCCTAAGCTTTATCTCACCATAGTGTTGTGGTTATGCCCCGTGGTCACCTACAAACTATATGTGCCCAGAAAAGCCCCTTAATGGAAGCCAGGAATAAGCCTTATCAGATTCCACAACCAGTTCAACTGGATCCCGCACACATTAAAGAACAGCAGCTCACCCCCATCACACAACATCATTCCAAGAAAACATCTTCGCCCTGCAAACACAGGCTGGATTGTTCCCTTAGTCATTCATAATTGTCCCCGGCTGTTTATCTGTAAATTGATCTTGGAAGGAAAAGTCACAGCAAAGCTTCACACGTGCTAATCACAGATGTAAAGCAAAGTTTATTATCACTATTATTATGATTTTATATGGCAGACCAACAGCATGATTTTGAAGTG